GCGCGGGTGGCGCAGGCACGAGAATTCGCTGTTGAGGATAGAGAGGAGGAGCAGAGGGCAGTCGTTCTACGGTAGGGGCTGCAGTATGACTGATAGGGGGATAGCTGTTTTGGCGGAGGAGAGACGGGAGTGATGTGGTACCACTTTTGGAGTTTATGGGGTTGGTCTCGCGCTGGGAAGTTGGGTTGATGGTAGCCTAGGGCCGGTCAGTTCGATGATGAGATCTCAAGGCTGTCATCCTTTTTTTGAAAAAAGAGAGGGAGTTACTAGAGGAGGGGGGGGAGGGGGAGAAGGGGAGGAGGATAGATAAGCATACCTGATTGCACAACAGAAGGATAGGGCAGAAAAAGATCGCACTAGTCGAAGCATACATCAGAATACCGGATAGCACAAAGCGAGAACAGAAGCAGAAAACTATCGAGAGGGGGGGAGGGTGGGGAAAGGAGGATAGATAAGCATACCTGATTGTACAACAGAAGGATAGGGCAGAAAAAGATTGGACGAGTCGAAGCATAGATGAGAATATCGGATAGCACAAAGCGAGAACAGAAGCAGAAAACAATCGAAGGAGAACATAGATGATGATTGATGAGCTCCCAACTCGCCTAACTCAGTTGGTACACCCCTGAGCTGTTGAAATACAGACCCGAGTTCGAACTCCAGTGGAAGTAAATGAGTAAAATAGTGAAGTACTACAATTCTGAGTACCGACTACCTACCTAGGGCCAGCCAGTTGCATGATGATATCTCAAGGCTGTAGCCCTTTTTGAGAAAAAGAAGAAAAAAAATGACTGTTGAGCAATTACTCACTACTGGTGCTCAGCGGATCTTGGCTGTGGTCATTGGTCATGCCTGACGTATCGTGTTTTGATTTGGATCCAAGACTGAGGGGGCGTCCATGACTCTCTCAGGGAGCCAGTAGGCTGAGTAGGGAAAAGGAATGATTTTTTATTATTATTAATTTTTTTTTTTTAACCCCCGGGTGGATGCTAGAGGTGCTGATAAGAGCAGACACCCCTAGCATTCTCGGGAGGTTCCATCTATTGGTGGGGAGCAGCACCTGCTGGAAACCGGGTCCAGCGTCCCTGAACATTGTCATCATTCTTGGTACTATACAGAGATAGAGATGCTCTCCTGCAGATCTGCTATCATGACATACCCTGGAGCTGTACTTACACTCCTGCTGAACTACCTATTGAAGATCGCTGAAGAACTGAACTCACTGCCATCCTTCCAGCATTGATTACCCTGAAACCAGGGGATTGACTGAGCAGGTAAAGCCTACACCACTCCGTACCACTGTAGATCCACGATGGAGAGGCCATGGGCTGGAAAGGGATCGGGGAAATCAGGAGGAGGGCCCAGAGGAACCGCCCCATCTATACCTTGGTCCAGTCGTTAAGCAGATGCCCTTCTGAGCATGTCGCCACCCCCTTCTGGAGACTGTCCTCCCTCCCAACGAATGTGGGCTATCCGGCCATCCCTCCCCAGCCATTCCCTGGAAAACTGCTTGATGGCTTGCATTACGTCTTTTTTCGTTTGAAACAGATCCAGTTTTGCTTTCACACTTTGCCACTGCGCCATGATTTCTTCCTGAATATATTGCTTAACCATTTTGGTGACCTCTTCCCCCTCTATTCTGACTCCTTCAATCGTGTGTATGCACCTTTTCTGCCAAAGGGCCCAAATGACAGCTCTCCTCTCCGTCCTGAACATATTATTTTGTAAGGACAGTCCGTGGGAGAAGACCAGGCTTCACATAAGAGGGCTCTCCAGTCCCATGGCCATGTGGATGTAGTGCCGAGCTGTCGCCAGACCCTGTCCCACCATGACCATGTCAGAATCGCCCCCGGGCATTGCAGAAAGATGTGCTCTATGGTTTCCGTGATCTTACGGTGAGGAAAGGCGGCCGAACAGGAGTGACACCATTGCAGAACCTTTTGTTGTAGGTAGGTTCGATCTATTAGCCAATTGTTTGTAGGGAGGCAGCGGTGCTCTATCTGCCTCTGCAGCGAAGCCAGTTTCGCCGGTTTGGATCTTGTGGCCTTAAAAACCATCGGATGGGTCGAACTGCGTCCCTTCCCACATTCAGATGGGTGAGCCATCGCTCTCTCACAATGTCTTTCACATTTATCCTTGGTCTCAGGAGGCGGTTGGCGGATTTCATTGACAAGGTGAATGACGTCCTGTTTACCCCCGTTTTACTTGCCGGATTCCATTGCCATGATACACTCCTAGATCCTGGATGAGGGATCCGTCTGATCGAGCTTCCACTGGGGCTGTGTGGCGTAATTTTACGTAGCATTGTGCCTATGCCTTCAATCTGGTAAGTGCCCCACTTGACCTTAAACCACCAGTACATCCAGCAATCGGCCGCAGGCGCTTTTTGGAGGCCGCCCGCCGCCGATTGGATTCATCTACGGCGCTGGGCCTCCAAAAATTTTGTAGGCCATGAGTTTTCTTTTCAGCAAGGCTGGAGGCTGGGGCCGTGTACTGGCGCTTTAAATGGGGGGGGTGGCGAAGGAGCGGTTACCTATGCTGTTAAATGGGGGGGTGAAGAATAGAGGGGGAAGAGGTCACAGAAACGAGCTT